TTGCAACTGGGAAAACCATAGCCTTGACTATATGCACTTTTGTTGGCAGGGTGATGTCTCTGCTTTTTAGTATGCTATCTAGATTTGCCATAGCTTTCCTCCCCAGGAGCAAGCGCCTTTTAATTTCTTGGCTGCAGTCCCCGTGTGTAGTGATCTTGGAGCCCAGGAAAATAAAATCTGTCACTACCTCCATTTCTTCCCCATCTATTTGCCAGGAAGTGAGAGGACCGGATGCCATGATCTTAGTTTTCTTAATGTTGAGTTTCAAGCCAACTTTTGCACTCTCCTCCTTCACCCGCATCAAGAGGCTCTTTAGTTCCTCTTCACTTTCTGCCTTGAGAGTGGTATCATCTGCATATCTGAGGTTGTTGATATTTCTCCAAGGAATCTTAATTCCAACTGGTGATTCATCTAGCTCCGCCTTTCTCATGATGTGCTCTGCATATAAGTTAAATAGGCAGGGCGACAATATACAGCCTTGCCAAACTCCTTTCTCAATTTTGAACCAATCAGTGGTTTCGTGCCCAGTTCTCACTGTTGTTTCTTGACCCGCATATAGGTTTCTCAAGAGACAAATAAGATGGTCAGGTACTCCCATCTCTTTAAGAACATGCCACAATTTGTTGTGATCCACACAGTCAAAGGCTTTAGCATAGTCAATGAAGCAGAAGTAGATGTTTTTCTGGAACTCCCTAGCTTTTTCCATAATCCAGCAAACGTTGGCAATTTGATCTCTAGTTCCTCTCCCTCTTCGAAATCCTGCCTGTACTTCTGGTAGTTCTCGGTCCACATACTGCTGGAGCCTAGCTTGTAGGATTTTGAGCATCACTTTGCTAGCATGTGAAATGAGTGCAATGGTGCAGTAGTTTGAACATTCTTTGGCATTGCCCTTCTTTGGGATCGGAATGTAAACTGACCTTTTCCAATCTTGCGGCCACTGTTGAGTTTTCCAAATTTGCTGGCATATTGAGTGTAGCACTTTTACTGCATCATCTTTTAAGATTTTGAATAGCTCAGCTGGAATATTCTCACCTCCACTAGCTTTGTTGTTGCTCAGACTTCCTAAGGCCCATTTGACTTCACATTATTCCAGGATGTCTGGCTCGAGGTCAGTGACCACCCCATCCTGGTTATCAGGGATGTTAAGCTCTTTCTTGTATAGTTCCTCTGTGTAATCTTGCCATCTCTTCTTAATCTCTTTTGCCTCTGTTAGGTCCCTGCCATTTTGGTCCTTTATCATGCCCATCTTTGCATGAAACTCTGCATATCTTTCACATCTTTGCATATCTCCAGTTTCCTTCAAGAGAACTCTGGTCCTCCGTATTCTATTGTTTTCTTCTATTTCTTTGCACTGTTCATTTAAGAAGGCATTCTTATCTCTTCTAGCTATTCTCTGGAATTCTGCATTCAATTGGGTGTATCTTTCCCTTTCTCCCTTGCCTTTTGCTTTCCTTCTTTCCTCAGCTACTTGTAAAGCTTCTTCAGACAGCCATTTTGCTTTCTTGCATTTCTTTTTCTTTGGGATGGTTTTAGTTGCTGCCTCTTGTACAATGTTGCGAACCTCCGTCCATAGTTCTTCAGGCACTCTGTCTATCAGATCTAATTCCTTAAATCTATTTGTCACCTCCACTGTATATTCATCAGGGATATGATTTAGGTCATACCTGAGTGGCCTAGTGCTTTTCCCTACTTTCTTCAATTCAAGCCTAAATTTTGCAACGAGAAGCTCATGATCTGAGCCACAGTCAGCTCCTGGTCTAGTTTTTACTGACTGTATAGAGCTTCTCCATCTTTGGCTGCAGAGCACATAATCTGATTTCTGTGTTGACCGTCTGGTGATGTCCATGTGTAGAGTCGTCTCTTGGGTTGTTGGAAAAGAGTGTTTGCTATGACCATCGTATTCTCTTGACAAAACTCTACCAGCCTGGGCCCTGCTTCATTTTGTACTCCAAGGCCAAACTTGCCTGTTATTCTGGTTATCTTTTGCCTTCCTACTTTAGCATTCTGATCCCCCATGATGATAAGGACATCATTTTTTGTAGTTAATTCTAGAAGATGTTGTAGGCCTTCATAGAACCGGTCAACTTCAGCCTCTTCAGCACCAGTGGTTGGGGCATAGACTTGGACTACTGTGATGTTGAATGGTTTGCCTTGGATTCAAACTGAGATCATTCTGTCATTTTGGAGATTGTATCCCAGTACTGCTTTTCCTACTCTTTTATTGACTATGAAGGCTACACCATTTCTTCTGAGGGATTCTTGCCCGCAGTAGTATACCTGATGGTCATCTGAATGACATAGTTCCTTATTGAAGTCCTTATTCTCAACTGCACCAAAACTTGGTTTCCACCGCAGTTTTCCCCCCAGCTGCATGACAAGCGCCCAGCTCGATGCTGGAAAAAGTCTTCCCTAGCCCACCAAAACCACACCTCCCTCTCTCTGTTCAGCAGGATGGTGGAGCTGTGGGGAACCATCCCATTCTTTTGAGGGTTTCGAGATTTCTTAGCCACTGCTGTGGACAAAACACCCCATGGCCCAGGGTTTGCACTGCACAAGTCCCTTGGCCTAAGAGGCGGGGGCACTGAGCACCCCAAGCTTTCAGGGCTGGGTTTCCTTGTCTGGCCCAGTTTGGGAGTTGGCAGCTTTTACGACAACCACTGGCCTGCCTGAAGCCATTTCTGGCCCAAAGCTTGTGGTAGGGAGATATATTACGATATTGCATTGAAACCCCACTGTTTTCCTCTTGTAAAGAATCCCAGGTTGCTTACATCGTCCACTCCATTTTATCTTCACAGCAGCCCTAAGGGAAGACTAGGCCAAGAGTACGTGGATAGCCCAAAGCGACCCAGGAAGCTTTATGGCCAAGTGGGGACTTGAACCTGGCTCTGCTGGGTCCCAACCCAACACTACCAAGCATCCTACACTGGCTCTCACGGAGGTGGGAGAGACAGCGATGACTCAGTTTCTCATGGGTGGATGGTGAGCTGGTTCCATTTGCTCTTGCGACCACCCTGCAGGAGTGGAGGACGTCCTGGGAAGGTCTGTCCTGGAGAGAGATGGATCTAAGTGGTTTCTAAGAGAATGTCCTACAGATGAAGTTGGCAGTCCTGCTGGGGCCCCAGTTTCTCTGTGGTGGAGAGATGACCCAACGCATCAATCACAATTAGTTCTGGATGTCCTGTACTTGAGACCATGTTCGCACCAG